AAGCAGTGTGAGATGCCTTGGTCTCCCAACCAATTTTTGAGAGCAGGTGTCTCAAATTGGGGACCATTATCAAAAACCATAGACATGGGAACCCCAAACCGTGTGATGACATTTTTCCAGATGAATGAGATCACATCCTTGGTCTTGATTCCCTTAACAGCCTCGGTCTCTACCCATTTGGTGAAGTAGTCAACTGCTACCAATATGTACCTTCTGCCGCCTGTGGCATGTGTATAGGGACCTAGGATATCCATGCCCCATTTAGCAAATGGGATGGGACTATGGATGGTCGTGAGGTCGGTGGCCGGCTGATGGATTAACTTGCCAAAACTCTGGCACTTGTCACATTTTTTCACCATCTCCATGGCGTCTGCTTCTAAGGTAGGCCAGAATTAACCCTGCCTCCTTGCTCGTTTAGCAAGTGACCTGCTGCCTACGTGCGAAGCACAATACCCTGAATGTAGGTCTTCTAGGACCTTTCGTCCTCTTTCTAGGGTCACACATTTTAAGAGGGGAAGAAGATAACCCTTCTTAAAGAGCTCGCCCTTGCACATTTCGAAGTTGGACGCCCGTTTTTTCAGCAGGGCTGCCTGGGGTTGATCATTCGACAAGGTGCCGTCTGTTAAATACGCCCTAATTGGGTCCATCAAGGTGGAACTTCGATCTAGAACTCCAATAGGTTCCTCTTCAATCCTTCTCTTTTCCATAACTTCCCAGAAGACGGTTCTTGGAGTATTTTAGGAGGCCGAGGATGCCAATTTTGAGAGAGCATCCGCCTGGTTGTTTTCGGACCTGAGTACTTGAGTTAAATGAAACTCCTCAAGTGACCCAGCCGCATGTCGTACCGACCGCAAATATTTAATCATGGCCGGATGGGTTGCTTCGTATTCGCCATTGTACTGACTTACTATCAACTGTGAGTCAGAGCAGGCGTTTATTTTTCTTGACCCAGCCGCCTTACACATGCAGATACTGGCCAATAAAGCTTCATATTCCGCCTCGTTGTTCGAGGCTTGGAAGTTAAAGCGTAGAGCATTCTCGTACCTATCACCTTCTGGCGACTGACATGTGACGCCTGCCCCACAACCATTCGAAGTGGAGCTCCCGTCCACATAGACCTTCCAGACTTGGTCTGGAATTTGATAATCAGGGGGCCGAGTCATCTCTACAATAAAATTAGCAAATGCTTACCCCTTTACTGCTTTTCTTGGCTCAAATGTGATTTCAAGGCTTTGAATTTCTATCGCCCATTTGATCATTCGGCCTGACAACTCCATGGTTGTCAGGGGCCGCTTGATTGGCTGATCTGTGTATACGACGACTGAATGTGCCAAGAAGTAAGGCTTCAATTTTCTAACTTCCATGAAGAGAGCAAGACCGATTTTTCCACTAAGGTGTACCTCAACTCAGCATTCTTTAGCATATGACTGACAAAGTAGACCGGGAGCTGACAGTCGTCTCTTTCAGCAAGGAGGACGGCACTTAGAGCATGGTCAGACACTACGAGGTACATGTAGAGCACTTCTTTGGGCAAGGGACTGACTAGCCTTGGTAAGGAGTGCAAATGGACTATCAGTCTTTGGAAGGCCGCCTCAGCATCTGGCCCCCATTCAAACCTAGATTTCTTCTTTATTTCCTGAAAAAAGTAAAGGCACTTGTCGCCTGACCAGCTGAGAAATCTTCCTAGGGCCACCAGACAACCTGTTAACTTCTGAACCTCTCGGACTGTGCGAGGCGACTGCATGTCAATGGCCACCTACACTTTCTCAGGGTTCGCCTCTATACCTCTCTGATTAATGAGGAATCCGAGAAACTTCCCAGACTCAACCCTGAAGAAACATTTCTTGGGATTGAGCATGACATGGTGTCGCTTGAGTGTGGCGAAGGTTTCTTGGAGGTCGGCCAGATGGTCTGTCTGAAGCTTAGATTTCACAATCATATCATCTATGTATGCCTCGACATTCCTTCCAATTTGATCAAAGAAGATCGTGTTTATCATTCTTTAGAAGGTGGCCGGGGCGTTCTTCAAACCAAACGGCATGACAGTGTAGCAATACAACCCTTGATCAGTGACAAAGGCCGTCTTCTCCTGATCCTTCTTCCATAAAGGGATCTGATGAAAGCTAGAGTAGGCATCTATGAAGCTCATTAACGCGTGGCCGGCTGTTGAGTCGACCAGACTGTCGATCTTAGGCAATGGATAACTATCTTTGGGGCACACCTTGTTTAAATCAGTGTAGTCCACACACATTCACCAGGTACCATTCGACTTCTTTACTAGTACAACGTTTGCAACCTAGTTAGGGAAATAACATTGCTGAATGAACCCTGCATCAAGCAACTTTTTAACCTCAGCGGCAGCCGCCTGACTTCTTTCTTCACCATGGTTCCGTTTCTTTTGCCGGACCGGCTTCTTTTTTGGATCCACAGCTAGTTTATGCACTGCCAAGTCTTGACTGATACCTGGCATCTCATGTACCTCGAATGCAAAGATATCCTTGAATTCCTTCAAGAGTTGGTGAAGATCATCACCCAGCACTATAAGAGCAGTCGTCCCAACTTTGATTGTTCGGTCAGGACGCGAGTCGTCCAGGACGATATCCGTATGCTCACCAGCCAGATGAGGGGAGAACTCGTCTGACCGCCCCTCTGCCAGTGATTGCTATCGTTTTTCTTTTCTCTCGGCCCCCAGTTGGGCTGCCTTTCTTTTCTTGCCGCTTACTGTAGGCGCATTCTCCTTGATCTGTTCAAGGTCATTGTTCTCTCCACTTGGGCCAGCAGCCACTACAGTGGGTTTAATATCAGAGAGATAACACTCTCGTGCCATCTTTTGATCTCCCCTTAGGGAGCTGACTGTTCCATCATCCTTCTCAAACTTGAGCAGCATAAGAGAAGGAATGATGATAGTTTTTGAGTTGTTCAGGGTGGGCCGCCCCAGGATCATGTTGTAGGCCGAGAGCTCTTCCACAACTAGGAACCGGACCACCATGTGACGGCCCTCCCCTTTCTCACCCAGACGGATGGGTAGGATCCACTCGTCCCACCGGGTGGACGACACTTCCTCCAAACCCCACTAAAGGGTGAGATACCAGATGTATGCAGTCAGGTTTGTACTTGAGCTTTGCCAAGCACTTGTTGCTGATGAGATCAGAGGAACTACGGGTATCTATGAGGATCCGACCAACCCTTTGGTTGGCCACTTTACATTCAATGACAATGGGGTCGTCATGCGGCCCCCTAACACCTCCCAGGTCCTCTTCTATGATAACAATTTTTGGGAATGTACTTTTGGTGGTCCGTCCTTGATTGACGGAGTTAACATCCAATCGCCTGATGTTATCTTTGTTGCCCTTGATTGTGGGGCCGCCTCCTGCAAAGCCGCCTGCTATGGTATAGACGACAGCGTCATCAGTATCAGAATTGTAAACCGACCGGTGATTCTTCTTGGCCGACTGTTTTTGTTTGGGGGGAGCATTCCCCTTGGACTTCTTGACATATGAATCAAGATTGCCTTTTTCTACCAGGCGGTCCAGGAAGCGCATGAGGCTTATACATTCATTGGTTTCATGACCAATGTCTTCATGGAAATCACAAAATTTGTTTTGGTTCCGATTACTCGCATAACCTTTCATGGGGGGCGGCTTCTCAATTGAGATCCGGCCCTTGATTTCATTGAGGATAGCTTGGCTATCATTGTTGAACATATACTTGGGAGAGTATGGTCTGTATTCTTTCTTCCTTTTCTGAGACGGCTGTTCAGAGGAGTCGGCCGCCCAGATCTCTTTTCTCTTCTTCTCATCTTTATTTGCCGACTGCTTTGGTCGGCTCTCTTTTTTTTGGGACCTCCTTCCGTCCGACTGCTTCCCAGTGTTACAAAGGTCAGTCGCCTGTATGTAGGCTTCAGCCTCAATTAATGCTTCTTGGAGAGTGGCAACTCTCTTTCGGACCAAGTCAAACTTGAAGGTCGACCCATCCTTAAGACCCTTGAAAAAGTCAGTGTAGGCTACCTCATCTGGCAGCCCTTGTATCTGAATCCTCATCAGTTTGAACCGCCTGATGTAGGAATGGAAGCCTTCCTTCTCTCCCTGCTGTATGGTCCCTAAATCAAGGGTTGTCTTTTTAGCAGGGATATTCATGGCGAAATTGGAGGTGAACATGTAAGCAAGGGTCTTAAAATTATTCACACAACCAGTCGGCAGGTTGCCGAACCATTATTGAGCAATGCCCTTCAGAGTGGCTGGGAAGCACTTACACCATGTGGGGTCATCCAACCCTTGGAGGTACATAAGGTTGGTGAACGCCATCAGATGGTCTTCTGGATTCGTAGTGCCATCATAGGCGCCTACTAATACGTTCTTCACTTTGGCCGGATGGGCGGCCTCAATTATTTCCTTGGAGAAGGCGGACGACTGCTCTCCAAGTCTAAGCAACCTAAGTTGCCAGTCCAAAGGCTGGACGTTTCTTGCCGCCTGTCCAAACAGAGTAGGTTGCATGAAATATTGAGGTTGCGACACGTATGGCTAGGGTTGCTCATGCGGTGCCGACTGATTTTTATGGGATCCGAACCGACGGGAGGTGCCGCCTGTCTGGCTCTCATAATTTTATTGTGAATACCTCATGGAGGTATTGTGCAGATTGTCTTGAAAATCGAAAGTAGAGGCCGACTCTGACATTCGGTCACTCTTCTTCTACTCTAGCAACAATAGAGCATCAGAGTACATTTTCTTTGACCCATCCTCTTGAACATGACGAATGGGCTTTCTCTTCCCTTGTAACACCCCAATAGTTCTCTCTAAAAGAGAACCTATAAAAACCTGTGTTAACCTGTGAAACCTGTATAACCTGTAAAACCTGAATAACCTGTAAGAGAATTATTGGAGGACTACCGCCACGTGTTCAAACGTTAAGGCTAGTTTCAGAAATCAGCAGCGGAAAACTAACTTAGTTTTAAGAAGAATATAAGTTTCAAAACTGGAAGTCAAAACTGAAAGTCTTACAAGTTGGAACCATAACGACCCTTATTCAAAATCCAGTAAAATAGGAAGTAATGGAACCAACACCAAAATAAAATTCAATCTGTGTTATGAAATAAGCTAACTGGTTAACCAACTCTCCACTCAAATCCCATCACCCTGATGCAAGACAGTTTATGCAAAACCTGTGATGAATCTGCTCCCCAATATCACAAGTGTAATAATTGGATCATTACAGGGTCATTGAAGGTGAAGGCCATGACCAAAGAAAAACACACAAAAGTACACAATCAGCAACGCTGAGTACATACAAGTTACGAAATATAGTAAAGAGTTCTAGCATGATACTAACAAGCATTCCATACACTCATAATATTATCATTGACTCGAACACATGACTTTATAGTTACTCATTAAGAAGTTTTTATTTAAATAACATTGATCAATTCATTAATTGATTGGATTAAGCAATAGACCGGGTTGTCCCCCTGTGCTCCATTCCGGAACATTAAATAAGAAAACCCTATGCCTCCTTTCGGAAGACATTAATAAACATCCAATGGAAGACGGGCGCGACTCCGTGGCCATAGCTAGTATGAGATCTCATCTAACTCATTATAATTTTTAAAAGAATTTAAACAAGAGACTCGTAGATCAGACGGCCTCTGAAAAGTACACGGCTAATACCCCGTGAACCCCAACCCATGTTTGTCATTACTCTAGATGTGCACAAATCCAGAGTTTTATTGCTCATCCTTCTTGCACTTTACGTGATTTACCAGTTTAGATTAGGTGATGACTCGCATGCAATCAACACAACCAATCATACATCAATCATACAAATCATTCAAGTTTCCAATTCAATTCTTAATTTATTAGTGACAAACAACATGTATTATTGCATCCTTTAACTACCTCGGTGTATAAACACCTTAAGTGCATAAGGCACCTCAAATCCACAATCCCGTCTTATCAGACTTTAACTCTTTCTTTACTCATTCCAATTCAATACAATTGCATAAGTAGTTAAAACGATTCATTCCATATATATATACTTGTAGCTTTGCTTCTAAGCTCTCTTGCAAGATATTGCATAAATAATGCTCAATAGGAAACATCAATGCGATTTCTCATACATGAATTAAAGCAATCATCACATTTATAAACAATCAACTTATTACCAAACAATTTCAACCAATCCACAAGTCTCCTAACATGATTCTAGGTCTTTTCCAAGTCCTTAAACATGCTTCTAAAGTCAAGGTTCTTCGTATACTTGTACGTACCTTGAGTACACAAATTGATTGGCCACTTTAAGGTTAGAAGTCACCCTCTACGAAGTCCTCTCCTAGACAGAACAACAACAGCTCAATTAATACCCAAGCAACATATATTACAGCAATACTAAACTATTTTAAAATCGCTTAAATCATTGAAATAATGTCTTTAAGTTGCTCACAATAGCCAAAGCTAGTAATTCAAAGTTCAATTACAGGCTTGTATATTAAAATCATGAAAATATGGCTTGTAGCATGAAATTTCAGCAACTCTAAAGTGGAATTATAATCTGAAGAATTAGTTTAAAGTTATAAAACAACCGCATAAACATTTTCATTCGAAATCATCATTATATAGTACGTTAGTATGTTGAGAACTTGAAAACCCATCATAAAACCATGACTTAAAGCTATTTAAAGTTAAGATTAAAATCTGAAATTTTAGTTTAATAGTATAATATAGGACTAAAACAATCTAAACTTGAAATATATAATTATAATTTAATTAGTTTCATGAAAACTCAATTAAACCTTCGATAAAAATCAAAAACTGCACGAAAACCATACGTAGAAGCTGAATTTGGCCACGAGAGGGTGGTGCTCACTACCATAGGTAGTGTGTTTGATTAGAACATCATTTACACACGAAAAAAACTATTTTTTTTTGCGAAAATCTGACGAGTTACAGTCAAAATGCGATTAAAACGTGATTAAGAAATTTTACGAACGGAAATTCAGAAATTAGTTACGAAAAATTAAGAACTTGCTGTTGAATTAAACATCATCAAAATCATAGCAAAATCACAACAAAATCATGCTCAAATTAAATAACTTTAGCAACACGTTTTTAAGCCCTAAAACCATGAAAATCAAGTTTTAACCCCTAATTTCACAAATTATGAAATCTGAAAATTAATTATATGCTTAACATATCATAAACTCGATAAATTTGCAATCTTTCACAACTCAAAAACATAATCAAACTATAATAATTGTTAATCAACGAAAAATTCATGTAAAGATTAAAGCTTTGAAGAATTTAAACAAGAAAAGAGAGGAAGATAGAGGAGAAGGGAGATGAAAGGAACCGGTTGTGGTGGTACGGGGCTGCAGCGAGGTCGCCGGTGGTGGGTTCCGGCTAAGGCAGCAGCGGCGTAGGGGAGGCAGTAGCAGCGGAGGGAGGAAGCAGCGAAATTTTTTTTTTTTTTTTTTGGTCTGAGTGTCGTGAGTGAAGGGGAAGGCAAGGGAAAGCAGTAGAAGTTTATAGGAGGTTTTGAGAGGGGAAATAAGGAGCAAGTTTCCTTAATTAAAATGTGAAAGAGGAGAAATAAAGGGATAATTTACTTAGTTAAAATGGTAATATGGGTTTATGATTATCTTGTTTTTATTTTTGTCAAATCTTTCCAAAAGAAAAATTATTCAAACAAGTATAAAATTATTATACAATATTTGTATATATAAAAATATAATTATTATTTACTAAGGAAAATATGGGGGATTACATCCCTGGTGAGGGAAAGTGGTACTTCGTTAGGTCGATCACTGGCGGATCCCATTTCCTAGACTTAGGGTAAGGAGTTGCCTCCCGACCCTGTACAGGCTTCTTCCTCCCAGACTGGGAGGGTCTTCTAGCCGACTGCTCCTTGGATGGAGCAGGCGTCTTCTTATTGATGAGATCCTAGATCTCCCCTTTGAAGTTATTCATGAAGGTCATGAGTTCACTTCTAGTGATGGGGGCAGATCCCTCGACCGCCTGTTGATGATCAAGCGGCTGGCCGACAGGTTTACTAGATCCAGCCTGGCAATCCTTTCGTTCCTTCTTTTCAGAGGAACGAGTTCGTCGAGCTCGTAAGGTCCCGTCTGGGGCCGTATGAGTCTCAACCTCGACCTCATTTTCAGTATCCTGGTCACTATAGACCTGAGGTTCGTCCATAGGACGCTTCTCGCTTTGATTCGGTACAGACTGTGATTCCATCTCCAAAGTACTCTCCCCACAGACGGCGTCAAAATGTTTCGGGGTTTTCTGATGTCTTGCGGGAGAGTTACAATTCCGGGACTGGTATCCTTGTGCCTGTACCTGCAAAACAACGGAGACTCCTTGTGGTGGAGTTTCGCCTCCGACGATCAAGTTAGTATTTGTTTGAGGAGTGAATAGTGCGGAAAAGTAAAGGTTGGAAGATCAGGTTCCCCTGGGTGAGGAGTGATCTAGGTGTTCAAGTTCTCTGAGTGAGTGTAATTAATTGCTTAACCCCCTTTAATGAGGATTAATGAGTGTATTTATGTGCCTTGGGAAGCGTGACAGTCCTAGGTTTAGGTTAACCTAGGGCTGATTGGGCTTCTTCCAAAGACTGGGCCTAGGTGGCTGTTTTGCCCATTTGGCATAGGGGAGGCCACGTGGCGTGACACAACTGGTCCATGGTGGACGGATCAACACCTGACACGTAGCAGGTTCCCATTAGTCCATGTGGCGGACACATGGCAGGGCCTGAATGGTTCACTTGTCAGATGATGACTGGTTGGGGAAAAATCCCCTAATCAATATGTAATGGTTATGATTTAATTATATTAGATTTGATTATGAATGAGATATTATGATTAAGATTATGATATGCTATGATTATGATTATGAAGGAGAAATTTGATTTAATCATTACTGAGATATTACGATTATGATAATGTTATGATTTGATTATGATTTGGTTATGTTGGTTTTATTATAATGTTATGATTTGATTATGATTTAAAATGATTTGAATTGATTATGACATGACTATGATTTTGAGTTGAATATGATGTGATTTGAATTATGATTCGATTATGTAATGATTTTGAGTTGAATATGAGTTGATTTGAATTATGATGTATTTGAGATGATTACCAGTTCAAGATTATCTTAAGAATATGTTAATGTTTTCATTATGAGTTATGATAATGATTGGATTATGTGGTGCCTGTATTTAGTCCCCATGCATATGATTTGGTCTTTCATTTTCTATTGTAAATTGAAGGTGATTTAATTTTCTTGTAATTCCTAATTGTAGTCCCCTTATGATTTTCTACATTTATCATCAGGTTGCTTGTTGTTTGTAGCCAACTTTAAGTTGCTATGTTGTCAATTTTCATGCCAAACACCCATTGCTTAGTGTTCTGTCAATGTGATTAAATGTCTATGATGAAAACCTATTTCATGAGACCTAACCGCCGTTTTTGTGAGTTTATGATGTTTGCCATTGTTATAATGCACTTAAAGCCATTTTGTGTGTTAAAATATTAGGCAGAATTGTAACCCACTTGGTGTTTGGGTCGATGATTTTTAAATGGGAACAACTGAGACTAAATACGTTGAAAGAACTTCCTCACATGTTGTGTCACTGATGGGGTGTGTGATTTGCTATCACAAATTTGTGATGGTTATCAAGCACCCCATCCATTGACACAACATATGTGTTTAATGGCTAGAATTAAGTTTTTGTCCCCTAAGAAGTTGTTTGGTTTTTTTCTTTGTGTGTAGTCTGTGATGAAAGTCTGAAATATGAGATCTTTTCCAACTACTATTGCCATTGATTTGTCAAACATTCCATCTTGTCTTGACTAGTCTTTAGGCAGTGTTGTTGGACAAAGGTTAATGATTGATTGGACTATTTTTAGACTTGTGGTGCATCTATGATGAGACTCCAAATAATGAGATTATCAAATTAAAGCTGTAAATTTGTCTACAATATTTGCCATTAGATTCCAATAATTTCATGCGGTTGTTGAGACATTTAGGAAAAATTGTTGATGGATTTAAATGTTGATAATCAATGATTGTAGGGGACTTCTGAGATGATTAAATTTACTACCTTTTGATGAATATGTGATGCATATGTTTCTTTTCCAATCAATGATGAGACACCATATGAGATTACCAATGCAAATACTTATCATGATTATTTGCCATTAGATTCCACCATTACCTATGGTTGTTGAGACGTTTAGGCAGAAATTGTGAAGAAAGTGTATGTTGGTAATCAATGAAATTTGGGGACTTTTGAGATAAAATATTCCACAATTTGTTGCTACTTGTGCTTTACTAAATATGCAAGTGATCTACAAAAAATTCAAAAACTTTTCATGTCATTGATTCACAAAAGTTCATGAGTTTGTACTTAATCATCACTTCTAAATATGCAAGGGATCTACAAAAGATTCTCTACTATTTGATTTATAAAAGAAACTTTTACTTAATAATCACTTCTAGATGATTTCTATATATTTACCCAAAAGTAGTGATGTCCCCAAAAAGTTGCAAACACTACATACATATCATCACTTCAATTTTTTTTATTAATGAACTTGCTTCATGGTCATTCTTGCGAATTGGAGTTCCATATTTTGATATGCCATGTGATTCCAAAAAGCTTTCATTGTTTAGTAAAGATCCCCAATACTATAATTCTTCATTGTACTCACTATAGTCTGCTGCTGTGGATTCCATATTATCTACTTCTTTGAAATGGTCCTCTGTATTATATTGCTCCTGAATGTGTGCTACTATGTGTATGGTAGTTGTTGCTGTGCTTTTGTTATGTTGTCTAGTTGCTCATCTTGCTCTTCAACTATTGGTTTAGCCACTTCCCCATGCACTGCCTCCCATGCCTGCAAAATAGCCTAAGTTGGGGCCTCCATTCTTTCCTTGAGTTTGCCTTCCCTTAGAAGTTTCTCTTTGTTAATATGAGGCATAGTGAAATTATTTCCACCTCCAACCTTTAATATCTCATTCTTCATGGTTTGCAATGTAACCTACACAAAACAGAGTGTTTGTGGCTCTAACTCATAATATGCATCATTAACTGCCTTGAGAAGATCATCAATGTTTTTTGGCATTTTTTTATGTTGTAGTGATTGTATGCTCCTGAAAAATCCCAAATCCAATATGTTGAGATCAGGGTTTTTGGTGGTTGTTGTACCAAAATGAATGTGAAATCATCTTGTTTGTAGACTTGTTGCCACTCAAGATCATCCTGAGTTATGTGTGTTATGCAATTATATTGTTGAATGTATATAACCTTTGGCTGCCCATCATTAGGCCACTTTGCCTTTATAGTTGGTACAATCTAATCAATAAGCATCCTCCTTGTTATTTCTTTGTGACTAATTCAATGATTTTAGTGAACATAGTCTCCTTCTACATGTACTTTGAATTCCACTTGGTTGGTTCTTGCTTTGTAAATGGGAAGATGCCATGTCTTCCATCAAAACAATAGTCCCCATTTTCATCAAACCTTGGCCTTGAAGTGGCTGTCATGAACATAACCTTTAGTATCCTCGTGCTTGACTAAGCAGCCCTATGTTTGCCCTTTTCTGACCTTGACAAGTATTACCTCTAACTTTTTCTTGTTAAGTTGAACCATTTCTCAACTATATGAACAAAATCATACTTCTATTTGTTCTTTCTCCAAGATGTTGATCCCATTAACAACCCTAGGTTCCACTTCATTCTTGCTATTTTGTTAGCTTTAGTCATTTTTGGCTTTAAAGCATTACTGTGTGGCTTCAAGTCCCCTCTCTAAATCATCCTAAACATTGTGCTTTTAGAGACATTAAGCATGTCAGCCAAGTCTTTGATACATGACCTCTCACCAATGCATAGCTTTGTTATGTCTTCTTCTTGGATTTGAATCCTTTTCCTTCCTGCCATATGGTACTTTGTGACTGGATTGTAACTGTTGGTTTCCTGTTTTTATTTCTTTGCATCATGCCATAAATTACTTACAACTCTTCTTGACAAATTGAACTTTTCCATTGCTGCTTTAATGGCTCCTCTGTTTGGATTGTCCCCTTCAGAATTTTTCAAGAGAAATAAGAGGATATTGAACCTCCCTTCAGTGCTGAGCCTATTTTGCCGTTTACGTTGCCTTCGTGGAGCTTGACCTTGCTGCCCATTCACGTGGACTAGTTGTGTGTCATTTTGATGTTCCTCATGCTGTTATTCAGATGCTTCTTCAGTTAGCTGCATATTTAAATAAAGAAAAGTCCCCTATTACCTCCACCAATTTCATCATCACTTGGTCCATCATCGTCAGGCAACACGTTCAAATCGATTTTCGAAGGCATGGCAAAATTAAGCAATAATAAAATAAACTCAAATTTTTTGTTTTAAGTTGCATGTAATTTTAAATTTTGAATAGAGTAATAGGTTGAAATTTTTGGCTTGAAGTCTTTATATATTTAGTCCCCTTCAAATGAAAAATACGTGATTTTAAAAATTTCATTCTCCCCTTGTACAGTTGCAATCCGTGTGCACCCATATTAAATGAAAGTGATTGGTCCTTTTGTTTTTCATAAGTAAATGTGATTGATCCTTTTTTTTCCTAAAAGGATTGCTGACATGTGAATGCATTTATTTTCATTTTTTTTTATCCAAAACAACAATCAATGTCCTTTTATTCCTTTTGTACTTCATAATCATGGGTTTTAAAGGAATCTCTAAGTATTTTAATTCCCGTGCAAAATGAAAAATAGGCATGTAGATAAGGGCATCTTTTAGGTACATTACATATAGATTCTACCATAAGATTAAAAGCTTGTCTTAGTACAAGGCTTACGCAAATGCCAAGCCTACTTTATCTAGCAATGCTAGACGAATATCAAATGCTAGAACCATCAAACAGTTCGGATGCATAAGATGTTTACTTATTTATTTAAAGGAGCATCGAGGGCCAATAGAGTTTGGCATACAAATCTGAAAACCTTGGGAGAAAAAAGAAGCAAAGACAATTCAGGCAGTAAAAGCATAAACTAGTCTGCAAGCTCAATGATCTTCACAACAGAGGAATCAGCGACTTTTTGGCACACAACTACACGATCATGTGATTTTATCACACCAGAGGCCTTTCCATGATCTAAAGCAATCTTCAGTATTGTTTCATTTGTTGCATTTGTGGACTCAGCCTACACCATAAAACAACATAGTAAACTTAAGCTATTTATGACTTTGCAAACAGAAACTGATAAATCAACTCAAAGCGGTTAGCTAGCTAGTTTAAGAACACTGACACAAGCATGAACTTATGGTGCTCTAGCTGTAAATTGATCAAAACATAGTGCCCACGTTATAGCAGTGAAGATCATATTCCTATTATTCACATAAAGTTGTCACTTTTATGCATTTCTTTAAGTCTTCTTATAATTTATGCAAATAGAATTTCACTATGCAGCTCTTATAATAGTGGCCTTACAGACTCTATTCTGCTTCATTTTCTATGTATTTTGATTTCTTATCGTTGGTTACAGACCTTGCAGTTGAGATGTTTCACTTCTCTTTGCTACATATATGTTAGGAAATGCTACATATGATGCTACAACAATATCAGAGCTTCGAATGCAAAATAAATACTCGTATAATAAAAGACAAAGAAAAACTTACAGGATGTCTTGGATCTGCGAGCATTGGGAAAAGGCCTCTAATTATGAGTGATTGCCTTGCCTGCAAGTCACAAAGAAGGAAGCATGAAGATTTAAGATAAGAAAAGCAGCAATTTACCTGTAGTACGCCTTCAAAAACACAGGAAAAAAAATGGTAGAAAGATAGGTCTCTGAACTCTTTTATCTAGTCATAAGAACTTGTTTATTGAGCCTCATTTAAAGAACAATTCATCAATCTATCATTACTTCTTAGTTGCGCTCACATCAATTGATGCAATTAAACAAGCACATACGAAGGCATGCATGCACATGCCGCGAACACACAATCACAAAACCAATTTTCCCTCAGAAAAAAGTATATACACAGGAACTTTTTTCGGAAGTATGAAGAATTGATCAATACTCATCAAAGTTGAGCACACACCAAACTACCAAAGGAAATCACAAAAGTGAATATCATAAGTTAACGATTACAATTTGATAAATAACTGACCAATCATCCATCAGGTGATTTAGGATATATGCCACCGCAGGTTGAACAAACACTACTCCCTCTGTTGCAAAATACATGCATTATTTGGACTTGCACAAAGGTTTTAGTAGAGTTTATTTGTAAATTTATATTGTGTAAGTGGGACAAATGGGTGATTAATTTTTAATAATAAAATAACAATAGGGACCAAAAACAAGAGTGTGAGAGATTGATTTTATTTAGTTGTTAAAGTGAAGACGACGATAAAGAGGAAAGTGATAAAACATTTTGAGCGAGAAACATGAGAAGGGAGAAAAATAACAAAATAAGGTCTAAAGTAACCAAGAATAGAAGTGATACATTTATTTTGGAATGGAGGAAGTGATTTGGATTAGTTCCACATAAGGTCCATTGTTCAAGCCTTATATTTTGTAATTCTCAGCAGAAAATCAATTTTATAAACAGAGTGAGAATGCTATACCATTCATCTAAAAGCATGAACATACCTCATAGGCACCAGAGAAAGTCCACCGGAGTTGATTGGTTTTGAGCTGAGGAATGATAACAGATATAACTGGCATTGTTGGACGGTATTTTGCAAGCAACCTATTGAGTACAAATGATATTCAATCAGTCAAAGCCTTAATCCCATAAGTGGGGTTGGCTACATAAACCAAAAGTGATTATTCCGTATAGTAATCCCAAGTACAAATGACATTGAAGATCCAAAAACACCATAATTAGATTATTTTAAATGAAACGACTATTAATTTCACCAGATTAAACAAAAAACTATTCCCCCCATCCCACTAGTTAGCATCTACTATGTTTTCTTTTCTTACATTGTTTTTTATGACAATTAAAGAGTGACAAAGAAAGAAAAAAACCTTCCATGAGTAGATGTTAACTTAATTACGGGAAATCCAAAAATGAAAGGTTTAAGCATTTAAATCACCCAGGGTACATGTTTTAGATCAGACCTTGCAGCTCTCCCAGATGATGTAAAACAAATTATGGCAGATGCTTTCACTTTGATGGCTGCCCGTACCTAAGTTACGCAATTACGATTGTAAGAGTATTTAGTAGCATTAACCAGCGTGATTAATCTTACTTAATACAATACAGCTGCATGCAATATGATTAGATACCAAAATATGCAAGGAAAAAAAGAAAAAAGGTACCGCAGAGGAAGCAATGGATTCTATGTGTGACATAGGCATTCCAGCATATTTTCCAGCTTTCTTGAAATATGTATCATGATTGAACACCTTCTCTGCCTGCAGATTTTTTTTTTTATCACAACTATTAATTTATGTCAATAGTAATTATATGGACAAGAAGGTGAAGCCTTGCTGCTTTGATCTTTAATTAAATCACTCTGAAAACTAGGTTTATGTCTTTGAGAAATCACTCTGAAATTGTAATTAACTCCCATTACATTTAGTCTTTGCATGATCACTCATTCAATGGAATCTCAATAGCTTGAGATTAGATTTTGTCTATCCATAGTCACCTAGCGTTTTCTTCTAATTGATAGTTTTACTTTGATTAGAAGTTTAGAAATTAATTAATACAAACCAAAGAAAACTCAATCATTACCATTCATCGTGAATCGAAACTTATCACTAGACTTGTTTAGGGGTTAGTTTAGGGTTTATATAGTATCTTTGATTTTAAGAGGTTAGTTAACAACCTAATTTTCCTTTGTTGAGGTATGCTATTTAGTTTGGTATGAACTTTACCAGTTTAATAATACCTAGTTTGATTTTAAATGGATTAAGCAATAAGTTCCGGGAAACTGGTGAAGAGAACATAGCCTACACCATAGCTAGAACAACCTAACATTTGTCCTCAATGGAAGATCAGATGCATCATCAACTCAGTTGAGCCCCCTAAACTTCCTTCAAAAGCTTTTATATTTTGTTAGACTTCTAAGCATCCAATATTTCTGTTATAGCAATTAAGAATAAAATAAGTTGATGTCTAGTGGCTTTTGCTTCTTTCCTTCGAGGTTTCAGTCATTATCTTGCTGGAAAAGGCTATTTATCGTTTGACTACTAATGCTAGAGCCTACATGGATTACAAAGGATTTATCCAAAAGAATTTTGAAGAATTATGTATTTCATTGTTGGGGATGGATGACATAATACTCCCCGAACAATACTGTGGCAACAACTATAAACCCCAACTATCTAGACCTCAAATGTCAAGCAAGCATGTCAAGAAAGCATATGAAATTTTCATCATAGCTTCCTAATCTTTGACATCGTTTTTATTTAGTTAGTTATATACCTTCAATTCAATTTCCACATTAGATTTTATTGTTTTATGACTTATATCATTGAATCATTTTTAGCTAGGACTACCGCTGCTTCATAATATTTAATTTCAAAACAAAAGCCTTTCCACTTATTTATTTCTCCCTCGTCTCACCCTCATTAAACTAGTTAACTAGCTCATATTTCATAGTCCAATAAGAAAAGCACCGATTACGGACAATTAGTTCATTCTTAGATGACTGAAAAGAAAGTATATGAAATCACCTCAAAACATATTCTACCAACAGTAGAGATGGTCTCAACTGGATACAAGCCACGCAAGGTCTCTGCACCTAGAATAATTGCATCACTCCCTGGATCAATCAGAGATAGAGGAGATAGTATATTAGCAAAACGATGCTATACATGCTCATGAGGAAAACCTGCAGTAGAAGGCTTCTAAATATGTTGAAGTTCACTATGAGTAAGTTGAAAATATGCCTTTTTGTATCTACTCTAAAAATTGATCAACGAGAACCAATAAGTAACATGTAGATGTTCAAAATCTGAAAAACACTGGTATACCATCTAATACAGCATTTGCAACATCAGTTGCCTCAGCTCGTGTGGGTCTAAGGTTATCAGTCATGCTATCCACCACACGAGTAACCACTGCTGGCTTACCAGCCATGTTGCACTTGTGCAGAGCAGCCTTTTGGAATAGAAAGACCTGTAAAATCCATTATAACAAGTACATTTAATCAATAAGCCATCATATTGACATTTAGCTCTAGGTCTTTTAAGATATATACGAGTAATCGTTGTCTGTAGATTGTTTAAATTGCTTCATTGTAACCTTGATTCACATTCAAGAAATACAGAAGAATATCATACACTAGAACACAGACTGTTTATGGTACAGTTCATGAAAACCCATGTCCTCTTTAATACCTGGTCTATGTTGTACCTAGAACTAGAAGATACCCAATTTTGTCAAACACCACAAAGTCACAACAAAAGGGGCAAAATGCTGACAAGATTATGACATCCTGAAACAATATCTTCACAAGCATTTAGATATAGCTTTTAAATTATTAGGACACAAATTTGAAAAAATAATATCTTCTTTGTAGTTTTATTTCGAGGAAAAACCTAGAAAAGCTGATTGTTTCTATTAAACATATAACTAAGTGAAGCGCAGTCAATTCGCAAAAGTTACTTATAATTGAGTTATGTTTAGATCAATTGACTAGATGTATACATATACCTTTAAAAGTTTAAAACATACATTTATAATACAGCATGAGTGTTACTGAAACTCGTTCAAGAGGATTAACTTGTATAGACATGGTATATTAATGTCAGAACACCAATTGTTACCCACCCTTACAGATGTATTTATGATAATAACAAAGATAAACTGTAGCTCTGTGATCTCTTCAAGCAATATATGAAGATACATTAGGCACGTACACATGTAAAAAAGCATGAATTAAAGACCATAAGATCACACATAATTTTCCAAAAACAGCATGTGTAAAAGAATTAGACCTTCTCCGGCGGGAGATCAATTCCCAAATTTCCACGAGAGAGGATAATGCCATCAGCTTCTTGTAGAATCTCATCAAAATGGGTCAATCCCTTTACAAAGAAAGATTAAAATGCACATATCAAGCCGATCAACTGAGAGAACACAGAACTTCAAATATAAAAAGTAATAAAAGAGATATATCATGTCTTACTTCAATATTTTCAATCTTTGCAAAAATTTGAGTCTGCTGTAGATCACAATGATTAGAAAGGAACTCCCGAGCCTACATAGCAAGTAACAAAAGCATATATTGGACTAGTTGTGAAGTCACTCTAAAATAAAATATCAAATACACTTGTTTTCAAGACATGTATTGCCAAAACCCTGAAGTCTGATCTAGAAGTGTTTACCTCACGGATATCTTCAGCATGGCGGGTATATGACAAAGTGAGGAAATCAATATTATTCCGAGCACCCCATGTTTTTATCACCTGAGTCAATCGTTCAATGAGAATATGTAGTAGAAGATATATTATGAAACGAAATGTATAAGGACTAGAGAAACAAGTTCATTTTTACTATGCTTGTTACAGTTGAAGACAAACAACATGCATCTTAATTTAACATTGAATTAAACTTTCATTTTATATTTTCGGTTCCTTGGCAGCCTTTTCTACTGACAAGAACAAATGGTGAAGCAAGAATTACTACCTCTTTATCCTTTTCTGTCAGGGTTGGTCGATCTATATGAATTTGGGAGACATGCAAAGTGTATAGAGGCCCAGACAATGTAGCTGAATTCTTGATGAGGCAGACCACATCTTCTCCTTTCGATTCAGACACCTGCAGTGCAGATACGGAACCCATTATCTCCACTTGATGCTATTCCCAATTCAAAAACAATTTTCAACGGCCAAGTAACCAATACACATTTCAAACTTTAGGTAACAGAAGATTGAATAGGCAGGACCTATTAAAGACATAAGATTTATGCTCTTGATTGGCTTTTACTTCTTAGTTGCATCAAGTATTGAACTCTAAAACAAGGCTAGAATTAATATCTTTCCTTGAAAATTCATACAAGATCAGCTCATTTTCAAATAAACTAGAGATTCAGTCAATAGTGCACACTGTAATGGAAAATCCTTTACAATACATGACATATATAATTAAAGAAACCAATGTAATAACATAAAAAGATTTTTTTTCATTTTATATTTTATTGACTGACCTCAAGCCAAACAGAAGTAGTCTCACTTCCAGTGAATAGATACTGTCCTATAAAAATTGTATCACCAGACATCACGGCCTGCAAGATGTAGGTCGATATTTAGCACAGCAACATAGAAAGAGAGTAAGTTAATTATCCAACTAAATAATTCATATGCTTGAAAATTTGCAAAAACAAAGTAGACAGTTTGGTCATTTAAACAGTAGGTCTGTACAGAAACTTCTTATGCTCAAAGTACAGATATACCACTACAAATACATGCCCTATGAATCCCAAAATTGAACCAATCCTCAACAACCCCAACCCCCCCCCCCCCACACACACACACCCTCTACCCAAATGACGTGACTTGATAGCACAGCTAAGGTACCTAGGTCACATATTTATGTTTCTAGAAAACAAGAATAATAGCTAAAAGAGCAAGACGTATATTTGAGAAAATATGAACTAAGGAAGAACCACTTGCAAACATCTTTGTTAGTACTTGACAAATGAAGTGTATCAATGATATAGCTTGTTTTAGGGAAGTCAAAATGAACACACTTCAGAATTTCTGATCAACAACATAGGTTAAATATAACAGTGACAAATACCAACATAAGAAAAATTAAAATAGAAGAGTCATAACAAGCAGCATTTAATAAGACCAGATTCAAAAATTGACTGCTCGTAGGTACAAGATGAGAAAGTAGGTTATAGTCAGAAATAGAGCAAGAGCATTAAATCTATAAAGAGCCTTCACAGTGATTGAAGCCAAGACTCAACCAAATATAAAGACTTAGTCATAGTACCAATTAGTTCTCTGGTAAATTCTATAGAATTATTATAACAATATAGGAGTACTAAATATAAAATGTTACTTCAATAACCAAAAGATTGCCCAATGTTAAGGTATTTCAAGAAAAGATAAGAGCTACATTTTTTCCTGATGCGGAGGCTGAAGCTCCATAACGCTGCTGAATCATTAAACGCAAAGTTCATATGCAGAAAATATCTCAGTTCGATTTGAAAATTTTAAACAGTATTTTTTTACCTTGGATAGTCCATGAAAGTTGATGGGTAACAGATTTGAGTTGGCCTCTTTAGTCTGATCAGGTGTTAGAACAACAAATGAGTCTGCTTCAAGAGAAATTGGACGCTCTGTCTTATTGACGACTTGCAACTCAGGGCCAACAGTATCCAGCATGACCTGCAGGAAAAAAATCATACAGGCTTGATTATTAATACACAAAGGCAACTACAAAAATAAACTATGAAAACGTCAAGTTTATAATCTTAAACAAATATTTATGGACAATATTAACGTATTCTGTATCACTTTTAGTGGCCTTTAAATTAGTCATATACACATGTAAGTATGTAAAACATTAGATGGTATCTTAAGCATGCGAGTTGTGAACAATAAACTTATTACAAACCAGGTACACAAAAAATCTATTGGGAAAGCATAAGGTAAACATAAATCAAATAACATAATCTTACAGCACAAAGCTTCTTAGTATGCTTAATTGCCATCTTCAAAGTGTCCAAAGTTTCTTGGTGAAATTCAGCATTTCCCCATGAAAAATCAAACCGTGCCACTACCACCAAAAAAATATAGAGGTTATCATGTAATTTTAAAACTATAGTAGAAGAAACCAATAATAAAACCTATTAGTTCAATAATTCTTTCGATGTTACTCGGACTTGAATACTCATATAGTACACAACCATGTATCAGTGCCAAAGTGTGTTACCATGTTCGACACAAGTACGTATCAAGTGTCCAACTCGGCATTTGAAAAAAACTTATGTGGACCTGGTTCATATGTGACAGCTGACGTTATGTTCAACATGGTAACCCTTACTTTAACATAGTGACTTTTATTTGTGAATTAGATCACAGAAGTTTTAAAAAAAAGTCACTATGTTTTTTTTATAGTGACTTTTATTAAAAAATTTGTCAAAAAAAACATAGTGACGTTTATTAAAACTTTTGTGCACCTGATTCACAATAATATTATTCTAAACTTGAGGTCCACGTGTTATCCGACGTTACATGAACTGACTTTAATTTTAATATAGTAACTGTCATTATTTCTATTGACCAGTATATTAAAACATTCATTATAAAATATATTAATCTCTTATGACCTTTATTATAACACATGTTTTAATTTTGACATAATAACTTTTAATTTAACATAGAGACTTTTTATTTATGTAACGACCTTTCTTTTAAGTAGCAACATTTGAACATAATGACCGTAATATTAGTGGTCCACAATAAATTATTGTGAATCGGGTCTATATAAGAATTTATCCGGCTATTTTGTGAAAAATTAACTTAATTTTGAATTAAGTGAAATGTCTAAGTGTATTACTCATGTTGAGTGTCGAGAGTACGTACAACAGACTCCCTCTCTCCCAAAATAATTGACAAGTCAAACTTCACACACATGTCAATGTATTAGTTTTGGCCTTAAATGTCTGTAATTACGAAAAAAAAAAAAAAAAAAAAGTTGATATTTCATAATATAGTTTGTTTATATTGCTTTACTAAAAAAATTAAGAAGGTTGACCAAAGGTAATGGAGCATATGAATAATGTAAAAATAGACTATGTCTATTACTCATAGGATGGAATGAGTAGTTTCCAACATATTTCCTCTACTAAATCACACTTAAAATGCAAAATAAGCATTAAATAATTGAATTAATTAATAATACCTGACATTCCAGCATTAAGGCAAGCGGAAATGATTTCCAAGGAACGCGAATTGGGTCCAAGAGTCCCAACAATTTTAGTCATTGCAGGAAAGAAACTCTGATTTTAAGTTTATCAAAAATCAAAGAAAAATACCCATTAGTCAATTTAATGAAAAAAATGCAACCAATAGTTACTATAAATAGAAAGTTGACCATTATGTCAATCATCCAATAAGACAAATGCCCAAAAATCAATATGATACAGTATAATGCAAATCGAAAGATAAACGGAAAGCAGAGCCAAAAAAAAAAAAAAAAAACTATGATCATCAAGTGATCAAAATTAAATAAATACTAGTAAAAATGAATAAATAAATAAATATGACAATTAACAGAGTAACACGATAAGAAAATAAATAAATAAATATGACAAAATGGATCAACTTACAGGCTTGGAAGGTTCAAGGATTGAAGCCATCCTAATGGGTTCTTCGAGTAACAATGGACCTGAATGCATCTTTTAATTTTGTACAAGTTTTTGATTTGATGCTTATGATTTAATGGGTTCTTCGAGCAGAAATTGGTGATGTAAAGTTGATTAAAATAAAAAAAAACCTTGTTTTTGTGATTGATTTGGCAAAGATGGATTGGTTGTGAATCCAAGGAAATTGAAACAATGAGCAATAAATATGAGATGTAGTTGGTGGTTTGTGAGAGAGCAGGATGTATTGTTGTACTAGGTGTACTAAATTTAGTGGGAGTCAAGAGTTTTTAAGGATAAGAAAGCTAATTGCTTTATTGTGTATATTAAGAAGTGGTCCACACTTTGCAATATTTTTGAAACGTGTTAATAGACATGACCTAGAGCTATATCTGTCTCGATCTTAAAAAATTAATCCAAACCCAATTATGACTTGACCTATTCGAATTAGAGGTGTCAAAATTATATTTGACCCGACCCAAAAAAAATCTGATTTAGATTTTGACCCATCTTGACTCAATAGTTAAGCATGACTCAAGTTTGAAAAGACTTGACCCAACTCGACCACACCGAATCCGACCGAATACCCGAATTGACACCTCTCGTGCGAACTCGAAAAAATGATGATATGAACACAATACTCACTCGGTTTTTTTTATAAGTATTACACTTTGACGAACACATAGTTTTAGATAATCCAAATACGAGGTAAATGGGGTAGTTGGATTATTAAAAATTAATCCTAACCTTATCATGACTTGACTTGTTCGAACTAGAGGTGTCACAATCACACCCAACCCAACCCAAAAAATATCCGATTTAGATTTCAACCCGTTTTGACACAATAATTTAGCATGATTCAAGTTTGAAATTAACTGACTCAACTAGACCTCATCAAATCCAACCTTAACACCTGAATTGACACCTCTCATTCAAACTAAAAAAAAAATGATGATATGAACACAATACTCCCTCCGTTTTTTATAAGTATTACACTTTGACAGACACATAGTTTTGGACAATTTAAATAAGAGGTAAGTAGAGTAGTTGGAGTATTAAACACTTGTAAAAGAAAGATAATAGTGTTAATAGATTATTGAAAAGTAATGGATGTGAAGGAAATAAATAAATAAATAAATAAATAAATAATAATAATAATATATTTCCTTGAAAAAACAAAAAAAAAAACCAAAAACAAAAAACAAGACAAATAATAATAATAATAATAATAATAATAATAATAATAATAATAAAAGTAGTTGAGGGTTTGTAGGGGGATCATGAGAGAAAAAAAATATAGTTAAAAATGTAGCTTTTCTCCATAAAAAAGAAAGTGCAACACTTAAAATAAACGACTGCATTTGGTAAGTATAACACATAAAAAAAATAGAGGGAGTATAACTATAGGGAATTTTTTAAACTCAACCTTTGAGCCCGACTGTAATTACACTTTTAAGCATGGTGGCGTCCAAAAGAAAGGAAGCTACAGATAAAAGAGTCGCCAACAAGTTTTAGGAACTTGTAAACAATTCACGGGTGTGAAGGTTACTGATGAGTGACATTTATGTCACTCTTAGGGGTAGTATTTAGGTCTTTTTCCTCTTATTTTTCTTAGGTTTTTCCACCTCATTTATCCTCTTATGGCTTCTTTATGTGTTGATGAAAAGTAATGCTTATTTGCACTTATTTTGATAATCTTTATGCATTATTTTATCATCCCCATGCTCTCGTGAACTTTGGTATCTTCTGCAGGTTCCATGACGGTCCTATGCACGGTGGGAGGCCCCTTGGCCAAGTATGGAAGCCATGGACAAAGGCAAGAGGAGCAAAAGGGAAGGAGAGGAAGCAAGAAAAGGAAGTGCAAGAGGAGGTGTGGCCGAACCTCTGAAAGGTCCGGTCGAACCTAGGTGTGGTCAAACTTTTGAAAAGTTTGACCGAACCTCCAGGGTGCAGTGAAGGCAGTGTCAAGCCAGTTTTCAGCAATTTTGCAGGAGAGGTCGAACCTCAAAAGTTCGAACAAACAAGGATCAGGGAGGTTCGACCGAACCTACACAGGGTTCGACCGAACCTACCCTGAGTCCGACCGAACCTACCCAGAGTTCGGTCGGACCTTTTCCCGATCTCAGCCAATTTTGTACGGACTATTTAAGGTCCTTTTGAGATCGTTTTTGAAAAAGGAAGAAAGACAGTAGCCTAGTTTTCAGAAACCTCTCTTAGTTTGAAACATTCCTTAGGATTAATTTAGCTTAGTTTTCATCAAATCAAATCATTGTATCAGTGAAATTCAAGAATTATTCTCAAAGTTTGGCAATTTGTATTCAACATTTGAAGCTTCAATTAGTAATTTCTCCAACCTTCTTCCTTTTAATTTCAGATTTTATTTGGTATTTGCATGTTATTTAAATCTTCTTAGTTCTTGGTAATTTGTTATTGGATGATAGTTATTTCAATTGTTAACCACTTTTCCCCAATTATTGAAGTATTTAGAACCCTAATTCTTGATTGCATGTTGATAAACATGAGTTGTGAGTAGTCTTCTTGCTAGGGGTTGGGTGAAGCTCGACCTTTTGGGTTAACTATGCAAATGTGGGAGAAGCATTGATGTTTGTATTGCAATTAAATTGATTATATGAGATTGCTTGTTAGTTCCTCATGATAGGTTTAGCTACCCTTGACTAAGGAGCTTGATAGTATGATATGCCTAATTTGACATGGAAGTGTAAATTGAGTACGTCATTACTTATTGTAATTTGATTATGTATCATCTATTGCTAAACTAATGAGGAATCTAAGTTTAGTAGTGTGAGTTGTTTTCTAATTGCATGAGGTTGATTTTACATATAGTCCTTGCTATATCTTGTCTACTTTACTCCCCGTTTGCCTATTTGCCTTGGTTGAGTGGATCTCATTCCCTAGTATCTTTAATTCATTGATTTAGAACCATAGTTTGTTTGTCTTCTTGACGAACCCCAATTCACCAATTGACTTCGAGTTAGCTTAAGTGTAAAGATCTTTGGCAATCATATCCCGTTCCTTGTGGACCGAACTCTTACTTGTCATTATGCTTGGTTTGTAAGGTGTTTGTTAATAAATGTGTTTGATTGAGTGTGGAATGTACGACCGTTCTAACGCCCATCAAAATGGCGCCGTTGCCGGGGAACAGTGTTGTTGATAGCTAATTGATTACTTGAGTCTAGTTCACCATAAAAAAAATTTCAAAAAGATTGTTTCTTTTTGGCTACACTTGTAGCCTTGGTACTAATTGCGTTTGTTGAGAGTGTATGCGCAGAACTCATAACAGGATCTTGGTACCTTACGATCCCGAGATTGAGCAAACTTATAGAAGGAGAAAAAGAGCCGGTTCTAGGCCGTTTACTACTCCCCCAGCTAGGGAGACCAATTTCGAGGAGGGTCGAGATCAAATGGGTGACGCGGAACCACCACCTCAAAGACCTTTAAAGGAGTTGGGAACTCCGGGAGCTTATAGAGCTTCAAGCGGCATTGCTCCACCCGTTACTCAAGCCAATGACTTCGAGATTCGGCCCGCAATGATTAATTTGATTGAAAGGAGGCAATATAGTGGAGCAAAACATGAGAGCCCTCTTGCACACTTGAACGAGTTCGAAAAATATTGTAACACGATCAAGGTAAATGGGGTAACTCAAGAGTTTGTGAGACTAAAGTTGTTTCCTTTTTCTTTGATAGGAAGAGCTCTTGAATGGCTTGAGAAGGAGGTGAGGCCTAACTCCTTGAGAACTTGGGACGAGGTCACCACGGCTTTCTTAGGAAGATTCTATTCCCAAAAGAAGACGGCCGAGGCAAGAGTTTTGATCCAAGGTTTCCGTCAAAAAGCTAGTGAAACCATTTATGAAGCATGGGAACGATACAAGGAATATCAAAGGGAGTGCCCTCATCATGGCATTCCGTCATATCAAGTGCTTCAAATTTTCTATGGGGGCTTAAGCCCACAAGGAAAGACTAGCTTGGACGCAGGAGCGGGTGGCCCGATTATGAACAAGACGGAGGAGCAAGTCATAGAGATAATTGAGGATGTGGTGAGGCACCACATGGATTGGCAAGAAGGAGAGAGAGATTCTCTAAACAAGGGAGGAAATGCGGTTTACTCCGTTGATCACCTTAATGCCATCAACAATTTGACCTCCCAAATCGCCAACCTTGGAAAGGAGATGACGTCCATTAAGGCAAAACTAGAGACCTCTAGTTCAACACAAGAGCATCCCTCCCAATCTAAGGGGAGAGGTATGAATTCTAACTCTTCTCCCTCTACTTCTAATAACATGCCTCATGGATGTTTGTTTTGTGAAAATTGTGGGTCTTATGACCATGATACCTCTTCTTGTAATTATGATTTCCAACCCCAACCCCAATACGAAGATGGTAATGAAAATGAAAATGAACAAGTTGGTGAAGGATAATTAGGTCGTTGGACTAACTACCCTCAACCAAACAATATTTATAAACCTACACCTACACTAAACAAGTTTAGTGGTAAGTAGAGGGTCGAACCATGGAGACGACATAAACACTATCAACACCACCACCAATTAAGCTAGGTCAAAGAGATAGGATGGATAGAACAATAAACAAAAATGAGATTTATATTAAGTTAAACTAACACCAAGGGAGAGGGTCAAACATGACAATGATCTTCAGTAAAGTTAGGCAATGGAAATGAGTTTACATGCAAACCAAATATCTCATATAAGGCAATACCAACAATACCATCTAACCACCTATCGGGGTCAAAGGCTTTCCCAACTTAACACATGCTCATACTATCGTCATAAGCTGTGAAAGTTAAGGTTTTTGCATAGAATCGATCACCTAATGGATATCCCTAAGTTACACTATCGTCATAACTTAGTTCAATCCACCCAATTACAACACATGATTGGCCATTCACATGGAGTAATTAGTAAAACATGGTTACAAGGTATATTTAATCACATATAACCAACATTTGTCTAGCCTAATACATTCAAGATTCACCACATGCTATCACCAATCCCTTAGTAAAGGGAATTACTCACTAATCATGAAAAACTAACACAAAACCGAACAAGAAGAACAAAGAGAAGCAATTAAACTAAACAACTACTCTAATCAAGCAAGAAATTAAGAAAGAACAATAAATGAGATAGAGTTTAGAATGCTCATTGAAGTATTGAAAAGGAATCCAAAACAATGTCACTTTGCATCTTCATCTTCTTCAATCCACCATTGAAGCTCTTCACTTTCTCTCTCTAAAATACCCTAAATTACTCTTAATCTACA